AAACATCAAATGAAAGTCAACTTTTTGTTTTAAACTTAAGAAAATATGAAGGAAAGTATGTGTCCTTGTTAAGATTTTGAGCTTAATCAATGATTAGCTGACCAGCCATGCAGGTTGGTAGTCTGCTCCTTTGTAGTAAGGACTGCCATACACTTGGAATCCTTTTCTTAAACTGGAAATCCAACCCAGGAAAAACAATCTACAAGACCTGTCTATACACAGCCTTTGCTTTGACAGAAGCTGCTTTCTGCTTCCATGGAGCCTTAATGCCCTAGGCTATAGAGAGTAAGAGAGCTGTGATAACGGGTGGGTAAAATAAAGAAGTACTAAAATGTATGGTGTGGAAATATTCCATTCTGCATGTGGAATGCATAACAAGGGAACCTTTCCCATAATAAGGTACCACACTTCCCTAACAAGGCAGGGCTCAGACAATCATTCCTTTGAATGTGTGATAAAGGGCTTAGATTTAGGATCACATGAAGCTTGATTAAGTCAGTTAAGCCAGAGGCATTACAGTGGCCATACTTGCTTATATTTCAAGACCACATTCATCATGGAATTATTTTGCTTTGTGCTTTTCACTTCAAACCAACTTGCTTTTAATATGATTGTAAGTGGCTATCAACATCTTCATTCCAAAGACAGCATTTATGAATGTGAGTTGAATTCTTTAGAGAAAAACATAAGTCATCCATAAAAAAGTATTACATCTCAGGTGACCTTGGCACTTGTGGTTTTATCCTTGAAACGATCCACAGTCATTCATCTCTATATAAAGGGTGGAGAAAATTAGCAATAAGACCATAGGACACTGAATCTTAGGATCACAGTGAATGCCTGAGTCATGTGACTCAGCCCTAGGTAATCCCTAGGGACATCAGTTAATTTTTCCAATCCTAACTGGTGATGGATGAAAGTTACACTGCACTGCAGCGGGTACACAACTGTTGAATCGCTGTAACTAATGTTGTCATACAAAAGCTAAGCCCTAAAAGCTATTCACAAGAGATTCACGGGCTATTAGAGACTGGCTGGGCTCTTAAAGGTCATTTCGCACAACATCTTCTAGTTACAAACCATGAGGACCATTCTAGTCAAATCACGTAGCACAGCCACAACCAGGGCGTCAGACACGTTTCTAGTCAGTCATGACATGCTTAGATCTCAAGGGAGAGAACAAGTATCAGAAAGAATGGATCAATGTCAACCCAGAGATGACTGGTTCTGTGTGAGCTGAAGCCCTGAACTGGCTTCTTCAAAATGTTTTGATGCCATTAGCTGAGACTTAATGCAATGGGGGATAGTTCAATGGTCATCTTCAGCAAACATGAAAGATATGTTTGACATGAACGATAACCTACCTTCTATAAGGATAAACTGAAGTCTAACCTCCCTGTTACTCTGGCACATTGGGGGAAACAGGTGTGTGTACGAGAAATCAGGGATTTGTCATAAACTGTCTAGCTTATTCATTGTAACAGACCTGTTATGTAGTAGTACTTGTTCCTATTTCCATGGGAAAGTAAACTAAGGACAATTAAAGTCACAGAGGTTTGTTAACTACTTGACTCTATATTTTCTGCCCTACGCTTAAAATTGCCTCCTATGAGAAGCAGTTCACAGTGGCTCCGGTCAGTCAGCCCAGATGAAATAGAGATCTCAATCTAAGCTATTAGAAATTTACACTGTAAATCACTGTTCTGCAAGACTGCTCAGGGAAAAGTTGAAAATGCTCGGAGAGCTCTATCTTCATGAGAAGAATTAGATGCTGTTAAGAAGTAATAAACTCTGAAAAAGTTTCCCAAACAGTTATGAAAACTCCTTTTATTGTTTGGTTGGTTGTTTTGGTTTGGTTTTTCGAGAAAGGACTTCTCTGTGTAGCCCTGGCTGCCCTGAATTTCACTCTGTAGACCAGGCTAGTCTCAAACTCAGAGATCTGCCTGCCTCTGCCTCCAGAATACTGGGATTAAAGGAGTGCGTCACCACTGCCCAGCCAGTTATGGAAACCCTTAATCAAATTATCAATATCCCATGAAACTTAGGGTATCCTATGGCATACACTTTGGTAATTGATAAAAATAGTGATGATGATGACTGATCGTAATAGCCATTTATTAAGCAATACTATCATTCTAGGCTAGCATCTACGTGGATTAAATTCATTTCATACTTGCAGAAACACTGTAAATCATGTCCTGCAACTCACTCCATTAACAGATAAACCAAAAGATGAAAGACAAAGAGGATGAACTATTTGCCTAAAGTCATGTAGTTAGTAAGTACTGCAGGCTAGGAGCTTATCAAGTATAGTGGTGAGGTATCAACCAATTGTTGTGCACCCTCCTCCTGGCGCATGCTATGCCCCTTGAAAATGGCACTTGAATAGATTGGAGATGAGTATAATAAAAAAGAGTTACACTAGACGGGCTGCTCTTTCAGAAGACTCAGGTTCCATTCCCAGTACTCACATGGTGGGTGTGAGTCCCTCTTCCGGGTTCTGTGGGCACTGGGCACCAGGTACATATTGTGCCCTTACATACACCCAGGCAAAGCATCCACACACATAAAAAGAATGTAATTTTTAAAGAATTTGAAGTGACTGAAGCGTATTGATTAGACCATCTAAGAGCATCCAATGATACTTACACAATCGGAGTGTTTTCTCATCCGTTTTTGTGTTTGCGCCAGAGAAGATCACAATGCAATATTCCTACTATGAACCATTTTGTATTGTGTCACCACTTTCATATTTGGTTTTTATGTGCCGGTTTAAGGTTAATGTGAAGATGATAGAAAAATATCAGATAGTGCGACACTATTTAGCCACAACAAAAAAAAATCTTTCATCTGAAAGTGCATTAAAATAGGTCTTTCAGTGAAATACCGAATATATGGAAAGAGACAACATCACAGCCATAAGGAACCACTGATTGCCCTTGTTGGTAAAGTGGATGGATTTTCCTTAATGCAGCATAATAAAAGCCATAGAAAAGGGTCAATAGGAGCTTTTTAAATGTTTCAGACCTTAAAATACATCAAGGTCAAATTTAGTAAATAAAATGCTAGTGAATTTTCAGCAGAGACTGGTGTGAGCCAGAGGGCACTAAGGAAGAAAAATCAATACACTTTCAGATTTAAAAGGAAGGGATGAGAAGGCAGCTTGATAGTGTTTTGAAAAATAAAAAGGGAAATTTTTGTGTAGCTCTTCAAGAGCTTGGAGTGCAGTGATCAAAACTCTGATACCAACTACCGTTGCGATCAGAAATAGAATAGTGGCTGTTCCAAATGATAACTTACTGTGGTGTTTTTAGGGTCTTGTTTGTTAATTCCTAAACAAAACTACTATTAGCTCCATTTCACAGGCTGGAAATGGAGGTCCAGAGGGGTAAAAAAGCAGAAAGTCCTTGTCCGTGTTTCTGCAGCAGCACAAGATGGATTCAGGACTGCAGGCTGTTTCAGAGTCCGTGCTACAATTTGAATATCATGTAAAAGAGAAGATTCAAAGGCTCAAGGTTCACAGGTCCAGGCAACAAAGCGATGCCCACTGGCATTGTCAGCATACATGAAAAACTCACTAGACAGAGCTACCAAAATGTTGGATGTCAACAAGTGGAAGGCAATCCTTGCCACCGGCGCTGGCTCCTCCTTGAGCTTGCTCAGTGACAGGTTTCCAGACACTGGTATACATCCTGCCACTCAAGAACTCCATCAGTTTAGGGGGATGCATTAGGCATGACCAGTGATGGTCTGTCTCTCCAGTACCCTTCACTGCTGTATACTAGGATTTCTTAAACCTTCAACAACCTGTTCTCAGCCTGGCCAAACGTTCACTGCCACGTCAAAGCTCAGTCAGCCTTTCCTCATTATGTTTATGCTGTGTTTGGTGCATTGGAATTACAATACTCAGGAGCCATCGCAGGCCTGGTAGCATTCAGCAAAGTCCAGGAAGGGAAGAGAGGTTTCTTCAGAGGAGGCACAGCTAGATTCTGTGCTGACAAAAGGCAAATAGAATTTGACAGTAAAGTATTGTGCCCAGAGTCTCAGGGTAGGAGCTATTTGAGAGTCAAAACTCAGAACCCTCGAAAGAAATAGCAGATTAAGTCTTGAGTGAAAACAAATCCTGGAAGTTATTTTCATATTGTATCTACATTGCAAAATGCCTGCTTCTCTGTGTCCTCTTTGTGGATGGCACTTAAGTCAGTTTCAGCAACCCAAGAGTTTGTTCGAATGGCATGGGGAAAATGAATAACATAGGAACTTAAACTCACAAGGTTTTAGAAGAACACTTGGCTTTAAAAGGTTATTGTTTAAAGAAAGATTTGTTTTATTTTACTAGTACTGGGAATTGAATTCAGAGCCTTACGCATACTGTTTGTGTGCTCTACTACTGAGCTAAACCTCCTGCTCCCAAAGATGCATTTGAAACAAATGAGTCAAGCATACTGTGACCTATTGTTAGATCTGTAGATCAGTTGATTATAAAAGTGAAAATTGGATACTCTATTCTCTATCAATGAGCATATAAAATACCATATAGACAAGCATAATATATTTTAATTAACTTTTAATAGCTATATATCCTTATTTTAGTAGTATATTTAATACATGCATACCAGATATACTGGTCAGATCAGATTAAGTAGTGTTTTCTATGCCTTGTTATTTTGGAGCCTTCTGGGGTCTCTCTCTGGTTCTTCATAAAGGATAGAATAAGATATTGGGAAGCTAGTGCCTTTTGCAGATTACAATTCTCATTTATAAACTCAGATTGTCTTACAATTCAGAGCAATCAAAAGTAGCTCCGGCTCTTAGTTATGCCTTTTCAGTCTTAAAGCCCTTTGTCGATTCTGCCCCCTAAGTCTTATAAAGGGGGATTTTCCTTTTCTTCTTAAAGCTAATAATCAGTTAGAGATGAACAGTCGCAGTTGGTGTGACTTGTTAAGGAATCAGACCAGAAGCCACAAAGTTGATGGTAAAACATAAATATACCTACTTACCTGGATGGCTCTGACGTTGGAAACTGGCTGTTTCGACATATTCACAAGATCTTATCCCTAAAAAAAAAAAAATAAGACACTGTTAGAGGTGGCAGCCTTCAGATTCAAGGTCTTGATAAATTAGAGTTTTAACTCATGATTCAGCTGAGCAGTTGCCCCTTTCACTGGCCATATATTCTTTCAGTCTCAGTTTCTGCAGTTACTTGGAGACTCTCCTTCGCAATGCCTCAGGGAGAGCGAACACTAGCGCACCTTGATAAATCATTCAGAAGGAGATACACTGAGACGCCTTGCCCCTGATGCAAACGATAGGTGAAGAGAAACTTGAAAGGCCCTATCATCTCTTTCCCTGCCCTCTTGACCTTCTGCCAAGAACAGCAAACCGAAGAGGTGGTGGGAATAAAACACCTTTGTTCGGCCTCAGAGGCTCTCGGCTTGAAACTGAACTTTTGATCTGTACTCACCGTTACCGGGGCAGCTACTCAGTTCCCCAGGAGCAGGTATTCTCAGTAGGCTACTCAAAGATGTCTCCACTTCCAAATGCCCTCTCTTGGCTATAGAAATGTCTCTTCTCCTGGAGACTCTGAAGAACTGAGTTGTTTAATCCTCACATGTATCCTTCCTAACATTCCCAGCAATCCTAAAGCCTAGGTTCTAGAAATGAGAATGTTCTAGAACTGTCTTCTTTCAGTAGAACTATCTTAGAAGACAAGTAGAACTGACTACATATTGGACCTCACAAATGTAGAAGTGCTTTCTTCCCCCTCTTTCTTTCTTTCTTTTCTTTCTTTCTTCCTTTTTCTTTTTTCTAGATATGGTTTCTCTATGTAACAGCCCTAGCTATCCTGGAACTTGCTCTGTAGACCAGGCTGGCCTCAAACTCACAGAGATCCACCTGCCTCTGCCTCCCTAGTGCTAGGATTAAAGGTGTGTGCCACCACCACCCTGCATTCCCCAACTTTCTTTAAACGTGTGAGACCTAACTTTGAGCACTGGAACCAAAGCCCATCTAGGGATGTGGGCTATGCTTTGCTGGAGCCAAAAGAACAAAGAATAACAGTGAACCCAGTTCTGGCCGGTTTTTTATAACTGTCGTTAAACATCAACTAGACCAAGTAAAAAGTTAAAAACTCATTGAATTCAAAACATTCTCTGTTCCAAAGCTTAGGTGAATTAACTGAATCTGCTGGGAGCTATGTATATGTATGTGCTAACATGTGGCTGAATGAACACAAGGCACCTGAAGCTTGGACAATGTCATTCAATGTTTCTAGATGTATTTCTTCTTCCTTAAAATGGCCCTCCTTCACAGCTGATGGGAATATTTGAGTGCCACAATGCCTCCAGCAAGGCTTCCTGAATGCTGAAGCATGGTGTGACTGTGTGTTGTTGCATTGTTGCCAATGGCCACAGCTGATGACTTCTGGGCGTTATGCTCATCTGCAGCCTTAAGTATAGAGAAGAAGCGAAGGATGCTCTTCAACAGAGAAATGAATGACCAGAGAACTTTGGCAAAAATGCAGGTGTTTTTATTTTAGATCTTAGCTTCCATGCTATGAAGATAAATAATTGTATTTTTATTTTTAAAATATCTACAATTATTGTATGTCAATATATAGTTTTGGGAGATATGATCAGGAAAACAACAGCACTTTTAAAGTTTCATCTAAATGTTTTGCTAGGATATAGGTATTTCTTCCACAATAAGGGTCCAGGAAAAACCGATTTAATAAAGTTAAAAATTAAGTAAGAACAACAGATTGAACAATCAAGGATCATTTTCTCTATGATGGGTTTTAAGTTGGCTGCTACCTTCCACTCAGCATCAAAGAGACCTGAAGAACATTCTAATTTGTCATTCATTCTAGGGTCCACAGCTCAAACCCAAAATGATATGCTTAGAATAGCTTCATTTTTGATGTTTCCACTTGGCAAAGTTAAGAAAAATAATGCAAAAATAATTATTATTCTAAGACTTTAAGGGCCTGACCAGTGGTCACTATGTGTACAACACAATTAGACTTGAATTAACATATTTTTGAGACAAGGTTTTACTGTTGTAGCCTTGGCTGTTCTATAACTCACTCTGTCCACCAGGCTGGCCTCGAACTCACAGAGATCTGCCTGCCTCTGCCTCCCCAGTATGCCACCACCTGGCAACATTGCTTTTTTTTTTGTTTGTTTAAGTTACTGTATAGTCATTTAAATCATGAGGATTAGGAGATGCCCTTATGTGATTACAGTATTAAGTTGGAATGCAAGGCAGTGAACAATGAGGGGTTTTACTTAGATTACACTGATTTTTGTCTGGGACTTATTTTTTTCACCGACAGTTTGCACTAACTACTGGATTGCAATATTTCCTGGGACACCCGGAGCCTAACAGACGCATGAACCTTGTCTCCCCTCTCCAGCTTTGGCATATTCTCATTTGTGTGTGCATCTCTTCTTAATATCTTTGTCCCTCTTTGGTAGAGACATCGCCAGAAAGTCAGTTCGCTTCTTGCTCTCATTTCTCACCATCAGGCTAGAGAATATTTGTATAAATCAGTTCAGCAGCAGCTGCTGCTGTCCTCATTATTTGCAGTGAAACCAGGGCAAAGCAGAGGGGGGAATAAAAATAGACAGTGTTCCCTGGCTGTTTCCCTGGTCGAGCATTCACCTCCGTCAGGATGCGGAGTGGAGTGTACCTTCCCTCCACATCCACATGCTCCTTGCATGGATGGGAATGGCAAGCGATGCCCTCTAAACTCAGCCCATCACCACCCACTTCAGGGCCAGTGCTTCTTATCCAAACAGGTCCTCTTTACAACATGCACTTGCTATGTCTGTCTCCCGGATCTGGCTAAAAAATTTGAAACACTGCGAGTTTGACAAGGCATACATTGACTTTAATAAGCTGGTGAGGCTTGCCAACTGGACACAGGTAAGTTTCCCTGACAGTCTGTGGGAACTTTTAGTGGTCTGTTTGCTGAGTCATGGATGCTAGACACCCCCCCCCTTTTGCTTTTGATTGGGCAACACCTAATATCTAGCTTCTAAATAAAACCCTTCAACTGTTTAAAACTGGTGAACATTAATATCACTAATTTCACAAGAAGAGATTAAGGGGAAAATCAATCGCTGTTTGGAAAGAAGAGCTGTGTGTGTTCTTTTGAAAGGTCAGGAAAATGAGTAAAGCTCTATCTCAAAGGGATTTATCTTCTATCCTGAAGCTAAAAATAATTCTCAAGGAGGGGGGAGAACGATGCTCTGACCACTTCACTATGCTGGGAGGGAATAGAGAGTCGGCAGTTCCATACCTTGGAATCTGGTGCCCACGGAGATAAGGACACTGAGTGCTGCCCTCTACCCTGCTGGGTACAGGAAAACAGGGACGAAAGCAAAGGTCTCAAAAGGATGATTCTGTCTACACAAGTTTGTTGTTGAGACCAAGCCCGGCATTTAAGGAAAAGAGGAAAGGATTCTAAACTTGCGCCGTCTAACTCTTTCACAGTGGTTTTCATTTGGCAAACAAACACACAAAAAGCTAACATTCCAGCTTTCCTCTGCCCACAGCTCTGATTAATTCTCAGAGCCTGTTAGCAGTCTGCAGCTGACTATAACACTACCCAGCAAAGCCTCAAGGTCACAGTTATCATATCTGGATTGTGGACGTTTTCTTAACATGCCTGTCAATGAAAACCCTTTTAGTTCAATACACACGCGCATGCACACACACACACACACACACACACACACACACACACACACACACATGTACACACACACATTTACTTTATAGAATCAGGGTGACCACCAGTGAGTGGGCAATTGACAAAGAAGCTACAGCCAGTACTTAGCAAACTACAAAGTTATGAGGGATTGAAGAAATTTCCTCTAGAAAGCTAAGAGCCAACGCTGGGTCCTTCTGCTTACCTGCTCTCTGGATTTGTTTACTGCCTAAGGACAGTCCCAGGCAGTCAGGTGCAAAAACACAAAGCTCTTTAGAGGGTAGAAGGGACTCCCGGTGTCGTCTGAGCTGCGATCTCAATTCCAGTGCTTTTCAGGTGGCTGGAATAGCTGGAGTGCTCTGTGTCTCTCCGGTCCTGAGAGCCGCTCCTGGCTTGGGGCTAGAGGGGAACTCGGTTTAAGGCTAAGTGTTAAAGAGAATTCCTGTCATAGCTCACAGTTGTTCTTCCTAAATATAGAGTTTGATACAAGCCATAGGCTGGCTGCCTCCGAAAGGCTTGTCCGTGTAGAAAGCAGGGCTCAGATATCAGCCTGGAGGTGGCTGTGTTATCTTACTGCCCTCCTAATCTTCCTGAGGAGGCTGGCTGCATTCTCTCACATTTTTTGAGGGGTGTAATGAACTTCAAAACGTAGAAGTCTATCTTTAGCTGTATTATCTAGAGGCCAGAAAATGAGAAAAGGTTCATTAAAAACCGGGGAAGCAGGGGTGCTGATATCAGACATTGCTTGAATCCAAGCTTGGTCGCTTGGGAGCTGTTAAAGCTATTTAATAATTGGCACTCTGTAAGCAGTCACCAAATAATAGAATTATACCATTACAGCAAACTATAGGACACCGTCCTAGCTTGTAGGTCGAACATGGTTAAAAATGGATGGGCTGGCATGGCTGCCGGGCTCAGAGTCCTTGCTAACTTGGCTCTACTGCTTTTATTGATGCATTGACCTTAGATCTTGGCACACAGAAGAGAACAAAAAGAAGGGAGATGTCTACTTTTAGGTTTGGCAAGGGCCAAGATTAGGAACCTGGAGGAACATTTTTCAAATCCGAAGGCTCACGATCACTGTTTTGAACATGGCTCTGTTGTTGAACTTCTTCAGTATCTGAAATTAAACTCATATAAATCACACCTTTAATCCCAGAACTCGAGAGGCAGAGGCAGATGTATCACTGTGAGTTCAAGCTTACTCTAGTCTGCGTAGTGAGTTCCAAGCAGCCAGGATGATGAAAAGAGGTCCTGCCTCAAAAAATAAAATAAAATAAAAGCCAACAACAACAAAAACCCAAAACAAACCAAAAAAAAAAAGCCTCCAAAACAAAATGAAACCAAAAACAACTTCCCTTTGGTAGAAATACTCAACCGAGTAAATAGACTTAAACCCCAGCCCCTGGGTGAGCCCACTTGGGACCACTGAGACAGGGCATTCTCAGCAACAGCAACAACAACCATTCTTGCTATGTGATTAAGAGAAGCTTCAAATGTTCTGAGTCAACCACCCCCTCCTGGCCAGAGGTGAAGTCACCAAGCATGGTGGACATCAACGGGGTCCAAACTTGTGGAGTGGAGAGTAGTTGTCACCTGACCATCAGTCCCAGCTGGGGCCTCTCAGAAGCACGAAGAAGACAAGCACCTTACTTGACCTCATACCACGACCCTTCAAATTCCCAGGCCTCCTGTCAGCTCGAGGCTCCCGTTGATGTCCGCAGCTGCCCACTGGCACACTCAAGCACCCACTGGGGTGATGAGTGACAGTTAAGGAGGAGGTGCAAGGAGACAGGGAATGAGATTTGTCTATTTCTGACGGGGACAGTCAAGATGAGGACTAGGTAAATGAGACAATGGGTCTCGCTCAAAGTGTGGAAAATGCGAAGCCAGAGGGCACTGGACATTGGAGGGAAAGCATAAGATTTTGGGGCGTATTTCAGTAAAAATTACTTAAGAGGAGAAGGGAACGGCGTTGTTCACAAAAACACAGTTCGCCAAAGTCCTTTTTACCTGCATACATTCACCTCTCCCACCCCAACACACACACATTACAGTCCAGGAATTGCAGGCTATCTAACAACACAATACATGTGCAAATCCCTAGTTCAGCTAAAAGTGCTTTCTCTGGAATCATTTTATTGAGTCCTTTCAACTCTTCTGTGAGTTTAGTGCCATTGTGCTTATTGTAGGAAAAAAGCAGGTGACAACTCATTCTACTGACTCAGTCAGTTCTTCCTAGCTTTTAGTTTTTAGACAAGGTCTCAGGCAGATCTGGCTGGCCTGGAACTCACTAAGTCGACCATGTTGAGCTCAAAGCCATTGAAATCTGCCTGCCTCTGCCTCCCAAGTGCTGGAATTAATGGTGCCTTCCACACCTTTAGCCTATTCCTAACTTTCAACTCTCAAATTCTTTCCTAGTATACAAAAGCACCTCAAGGAAGCACGCTCACGTGTGCACCTCCACGTAGGCGCGTGTAAGTACAGCACCTGGTTAGGAAACATCCTTGCGCACTAGTGAAGAGATGCAATTCCAGGCTCGTGCAGAAATTCTATTATGTCGAAAGTTATGTGGGAGTGTCATATATCAATCTGTTGATTTCATTGGTTAAGCAATAAAGAAACTGCTTGGCCCTGATAGGTTAAAACATAGGTGGGAGGAGTAAACAGAACAGAATGCTGGGAGAAAGAAGCTGAGTCAGGGAGTCGCCATGATTCTCCCACTCCAGGCAGACACAGGTTAAGATCATTCCTGGTAAGCCAGCTCGTGGGCTACACAGATTATTAGAAATGGGCTAGTCCAGATGCGAGAGTTAGCCAAGAAAAGGCTAGATATAATGGGGCCAGCAGTGTTTAAAAGAATACAGCTTCCATGTAATTATTTCGGGGCATAAGCTAGAGCTAGCCATGTGGGCGGCCGGGTGCTGGGGATGCAGCCCGCTGCTCCTAATTCAACACGAAAGACCCAGGCTCTTTCAAGTTCAGTCACTTTGCCACCCTGAACAAGTCAGTATTTTATCAGCAAGGTCTCAATATGACAACCATAGCTCCAAGAATCAGGATCTGTCACGAACATCCAAACAAGGAGGAGGAGCAGTGGCTGCAGAAAAGGGGGAGGATCAGTGGCTGCAGAAAAGGGGGAGGATCAGTGGCTGCAGAAAAGGGGGAGGAGCAGTGGCTACAGAAAAGGGGGAGGAGCAGTGGCTGCAGAAAAGGGGGAGGAGCAGTGGCTGCAGAAAAGGGGGAGGAGCAGTGGCTGCAGAAAAGGGGGAGGAGCAGTGGCTGCAGAAAATGAGGCTTTTATTCTCCCACAAAAGAAAATGCTTTCTCAGTTCTCCAAACCAACCTACCCTTACATCTTTAAAACAAACAAACAAAATGATAATGGGTGCAATAGCTGCAAAGGAGATAGATAGATGGGTAGATGATAGATAGGTAGATAGATAGATAGATAGATAGATAGATAGATAGATAGATAGATAATAAATAAATGACAAAGGTGAATGAAGTAGAAATGATAACAAAAATCAAACATCCTACAAACTGGCATGCCCTTAGCAATGAAAAGACAGAATGCTAGTGATGTAGATAAGGTCTGCACACATATAAAAGGCTTCATATAAGTGTACTTTCCTACACATGACCTCATGCAATATGCACCACATTACAAAGCAAATGTGTATTTTGTAAGTGGCAACATATTTTTAAAATAAATATGAAGGGGAAAAAAGTCAGTGTAAAAACTCTAGAATCACACTTCACAGGATATACAAACATGAATCACACATAACTTAAAGACATAGGGTTTTTTGCAGTAGTTGTTGCTGTTTTGTTTTGTTTGAAGATGTATTATATTGTCTCATCGCGTGTGTGCACCCACATGCCTATGGAAGCCAGAAGAAAGTGTCAGATTACCTAGCGCTGGAATTAAAGATAGCTGTGAGCTGCCTACCATGGGAACCATGATTCCAAGTCAGGTCCTTTGCAAGAGATGTATGAGCCCTTAACTGCTAGGCACCTCTCCAGTCCCAATGCATAGCTTTAATTCTAATAATAATATAAGGAATATTGAAATATGGAACAGCTTTTAAAGTATACTATTAGCACCAAAAAATGGGTCCATAGAATAAATACTGATACCCTTTCCAAATAAAAATTTAAAGGGCCTGTGTAGAATAATAAAATAAGTACATTTTCTGTATACACATTTGTCATAGAATTAACCTGTTTATATAAAACATGCTTTCTAATCAAGAGGAAAAGCAATGGTAAACTTGGATATGGACCACAAAGGATTGAAAAGATGGCTAAGAGTTTAAGAGTTCATACCACTCTTGCAGAGAATCCAAGTTTGGCAACTCACAAGAGCCTTTAACTCTAGTTCCGGATCCTGTGCCCTCTTCTGGTCTTTATGAGTACTGCACACATGTGTGCAAATCTCTCCTCCCCCCCCCCTCTCTCTCTCTCACACACACACACACACACACACACACACACACACACACTTAAAAATAAACCTTCAAAAGGAAGATATACAAATATCTAAGTGTCCAGAGCCAGCCGGAGAGGTCAGTGGGTAAAATAACTTGCTGTCAAGCCTAATGACCTGAGTTTGGTCCTTGAGACTCACATGGCAGCAGGAAAGAATCAACCCCACAAACATGCCATCTAACCTCCACATGTCCCCCACAAATAAATAAATAAATGTAATAAAAATGTTTAAATAATCAATTTTCCAAAGTATATAATAATTTAATTTCAGAATTCTGCACGTGTATAAAATGCTGTGTATTTATTTCCATTTTGTAAGTGACAGAATGCACTAGAAAAAGTTCCGGTCAAATTCCTAAAGTGTGGCTGAGTCAAAACACAAATGAAATTATAATATTCATCAAAAACTCATGGATGATTTGGAAAAAATGGTAGAGTATCAAATGTCAAGGCCGACAGGAAGTGGAAACTGGATCTTGTCAGGGACACTGTGAGCCAATCCACTTCTTCCCTTAGCTCCTGGTTCTGTTCAGTGGCCGTATGTCATCTCTCTCCTTAGACCTTAGCTTCATTCCACAAGCACCCACAAAGAGGAAACCTTTCTTTTAGAAAGAAGCAATGTGTAGAATTGGAACTCCACTCACAAGCAAAATACTTTTCATGTAGTTTTGCACAGAACTTGAGCATCTCCTTCCTCCAAAATCTATTTGCAAAAGGAATGTTTGCTTTATCCTTATAGAATTTGACAACTTGCGTCCCCAAAATATTCTCCTTCTGTAATAAATGAGTATTCTGCCTCAGAAGGGGATTCAGATTTTCATCCCAAAAACACACTACCTTGTCTTCTGTCCTTAAAGAAATGACTGACAACCAACTCTCAGTTGTCCTGTGCTTTTAACTAAGTTATCCTTCAATTTTTTTATTAACTTTGTGTATATATGTATATATGCATGTGGGTGTATGCAAAGACACATGCCACAGAGTTCATGTGGAAGATAGAGAACA